AGAGGCAGTTTAAAATGTTCCTGAACATGTAAAATGGAAAATATCCCAGATGTCCATTAACATAGACAATGAGGCAAGAGCCCTACAATGGAATACCAAACCACAATTAAAAGACAGGAACCACTGCTCTATCCAACAGTAGTCAGAACATGGAAGGAAAAACAGACACCAAAGATTCCATGTTGCCAGGCAATGGTGGCACACGCCTTTAATCCCAGCACTCGGGAGGCAGAAGCACACAGATTTCTGTGAGTTCCAGGCCAGCCTGGTCTACAGAGCAAGTTCCAGGACAGCCAGGGCTACACAGAGAAACCCTGTCTTGAGAAATAACACAACAAAAACAAAAAAAAAAGAGTCCATGCTGTGTGATTTCATATATATGAGGCTCAATACCAAGCACAGTCATGTCTTGAAGTAGAGAACTCCTTTATCTGGGTGATGGTTTGTTGAGCTAGACAATTAAAATTTTGTGCTTGCTGTGAGTGAATGTAATTAACTGTATAGGAAAGTTAAATGGAATGATTCAGTGTCAATCAAAACTAAAATTAATGATAAAATTAAATGTTTCAGAATGTGCAGTAATCAGGGGAGGACATGTGGTATGGTGTGTGTGTGTGTGTGTGTGTGTGTGTGTGTGTGTGTGTGTGTGGCTGGAACGTAACTGCATGCCAGTCAGCCCCAACCCAGCTCTTACTCTATGATTCCCTGAATCTGGTTCTATCCAAGCAAAGGCTTCAGATGACCAGCCACACCAGAGAGAGACCCAGGGATGAGAGAACCCCTATGGGTTATAAAGCCATAGTGTAAAGAAACGAGACTGGCCCACCAGGCATATCACAGAGAAAGTACTGATAAAGGGACAGAGAGCTGAAGAACAGGACATTTAGGTGAACCCAGGCAAAGTGTAACACTCTGAGTGGCTGGTGGAAGAAGAATAAGAGCCCTGCCCTAAATTATTTCTAGGGTTCTTTCTCTGTTTGATGTATTTGTCTACATAAATATATGTATTTCTCTATATTGAACAGATTTAAAAATATGTAAATGGGAGTTGGGATGTGTGTTTATGGGTGCAGTTGGTACATGCTAGGCAATGTCCTTTTGTTTCCCAGAGGTGAGGTGAGACTAGGTTCTCATCAGAGGCCACTGGGAACACAGTAGAAATGTTGCTAAATTGGTTTTGCCTGATCTTGAGTGGGTCCAAGCAAGCTAAGCACTGCAGAGTCCTGTGTGAGCCACTGAATATACATAGTCCATCATGATTGAAGTGTCTTGGATTGAGTCTGAAAACACACACACACACACACACACACACACACACACACACAGCAATTTTATATTATAGTTACAGATGATGACAGTCAGTGGCTTATAGTTGTTCAGTCTCTTGAATCAAAACTATGTCATTAAGGTATGGCTTTTCTAAATGGCTTACACTTCAAGATGGCTGAAATTAAAATGCAAGTTTTTATGTTTAAAATCAGTCTTAAAATGCCACCATCATTTTTTACTTAGAAGGTTTTTTTTAGAGCATTACTTTTTAACTTTTTGTTCTGGACATTTATGATTTGAGCCCAGGCCCCTTAATTCTGGGTGTAAATGTTGAAAGCATTTGGAAGATGCAGCTGTAGGACATAAAATGACTCTCAGAGCCAATCCTCAGGCAAAACTTTACACTCTTACAGCTGGAATGGGTGGTTCACAGCTGGAATCCCTGCACATGGGAAGCTGAAGTCAGAGGATTGCCAGACATTTGAGGCCCAGCCTCGGCTACATAGTGAGCTCCAGGCTGGCCTGAGCTACATGGAAGACCTTGTCTAAAACACCCAAACCATTCTTTGACAGTGTGGAGGTTTTACACCCAATGTCTTTACTGTAAGTAAGAGGGTTTTCCTAGGGATTCCTCTTCAGGTTTCCACTGATCACTGATTCTACACAGAAAAACAGAACAGAAAGAAGGCAGCAAATGAAGGCCCCAAACATTCAGGGAGTCATTGCCACAGTTGTTGGGAAGAGAATCAATAGTTTCCAGTTCTTTCTTAATTCCTGGAATCCATGCTTTTTAATTAATGAAGATTTTAAGAAAGCAAAGCAATGTTGGCTGGTTTGTGTGGAGGATGGAGGGCAAGGGGAGAGTGATGTGACATGGCACTGGGCACTCAGGAAGGTACCTCCCATGCTGTCATCAGTCCTCTGGACACATGGCTTCTGGACATTTTCCAACCCTCCTTGTGTTCCTGGACTGCCCTTAAGCATGAGAAGCTCTGAGAAAGTCTGGTACAGAGCTCCCTATCCCCCGGTGGCTTTGTCCTGTCCTTTCTGCCCCCCTCCCCTACTCTTTCTCTGGCATGCCCCCAGAGAGACCTTCAAGACCTTTATCCTGGCCAGCTGGCCAGCTTTGTTCTATTACTCAAAAAGAAAGAGGGATAAGCATAAGCAGAAAGTGACCAGATTTCTTTTTTAAATTCCAGAAATCTCGATGAGTCATTAATACATATAATTTATTCAGCAGTAATTCAGTAAAGTCCTATAAGGTAGCCCACGCTTAGAGACTTCCTTTTTTGCCCAAATGACCAACAGGACAGTCTGGTCACCCTCCTTCCAGATTCCAGCAGGATCAGATTCTAATGCCATATACAGATGCCTGCCCTGGGTACTGTAGTAAAACACACACACACACACACACACACACACACACACACACATCAGGGATGCCATTCTAACTGACCAGGCTAAATTGACAGGAGTCACAATTCCAAAGTCCATTAACTTTATTCCTTGGAATCTGGGAGGCTCGAGCAAAGAAAACAAGTGTGTGTGTGCCATTCATCAGTTCCTGAGCCACCTCAAGGAATCACAAATTGCATTTGTGTGCTGGGGTCTTGGCACTTTAAGAAAGGTTCAAGGTGTGGTTGAACCAACTGTGGTGGTTCAAGGTGGGGTTGCCCTCCCTCCCCGCCTCAGCTTTGAGCACCGTTCAGTCTCCAGCCCACAGTCAAGGACAATCATGGACATCCGGCTTGACTATCATTTGCTCCAAGAGAATCATAGATCCTAGTTTCTAACAAACCAGGAAACATATGGGTCACTGAACTAGGGAAATAAAACTCTACAATCTTCAAAACATAAGAACCAGGTGCCTGTGGGAACTTGCTGAGCAACGGGAGGGTAAAGAAGGCGCACGCTGCAGAATGAAGCTGTGAATCACATTCATCTCCCCAGTCTGGCCACCCCTGGATGCTGATGTCATTATTAATTTTTCGTGCTGGGGATGAATGAAGCTCAGGGCCGCCCACACATAGTCAAGTGAAGTATTAAGCCACATCCCAGCCTGACAATGACACGTTTTAACTGTTGTCCTGCCGTAGAAATAGTAGAAGTGGGGTTTCCACTTGCATTTCTGTTTTGCTTTTCTTTGAGACATTTCACTGTTTAGCCCATGCAGGCCTCTAACTAAGGGTCTTACACCCTAAGTGTTGGGATTATAGTGATAAGCCACCATGCCCAGCTCACACTAGTTTGTAGCTGTCTCCCTCTAAACCAGGTTGACCTTAAACTCATGGCAGTCCCCCTGCCACTGCCTTCCAAGTGCTGAGATTACAAGCCTGAACCACTATGCTAAGCCCACACTTTCAACAGCTGAGCTGGTTGGTTTCTTCCTTGCAGAGATCTGATTTTTCTCTCCTAAAACCTAGAGAAAAACGGCTGGCTTGTACACAGTAGAAAATATGTGACTATTTTCCCATCAGAAAATGATCCCCGTTTTAGACAGACTGTAAAATGTTTCAACTGAATGCAAATTACATCATAGAGGTTCAGAATTTTTATATTCCCAAGGGAGCAAGAAAGGCATACTGTAACTAGGTATTTGTCCTTCCACTCTGCTGGCTAACTCTCTCCAGTTCCTCCCAAAGTCCAAAAGCTCAGCAATTGCTTCTGGTGACATCATTTTTGGAAAGACTAGGTGGCTTCATTGGGCAAAAAAAACTCCCATTTCATTTAGTAAGACTTACTTTTTCTCCACCCAGAAAAGGGAAGAAACTCAGTCAATCTCATATTAGCACAAACGCACCATCCTTTGTTTCAGAAATGCAAGGGTTACCCTGCATCAAGCAAAGTCCTGGCCTTCAGATTAAAAATTGGTCACTGGGCAAAACTGGCTTTTGCCTGGCTTTGTAGAAATAATGTTTAGACTGGGATTTTTCCCTTTGAGATTGTTGTGGTGAAGGGGATGGGGTGAAAACTATTTTGTGACATTGAAATTTCCTGGAACTCAAAATCTCAGTGTTTATAAACCAGGTTTGGAGCCAGGCATTGGTGGCGCATGCCTTTAATCCCAGCACTCGGGAGGCAGAGGCAGGTGGATCTCTGTGAGTTTGAGACCAGCCTGGTCTACAAGAGCTAGTTCCAGGACAGCCTCCAAAGCCACAGAGAAAGCTTGTCTTGTAAAACCAAATAAATAAATAAATAAATAAATAAACAAACCAGGTTTGGGCTGGCAAGATGGCTCAGTGGGTAAAGGTGCTTGCTGTCATGCCTGATGATGACCTGAGTTTGATCCTTGGGATTCACATGATGAAGGAGAGAACTGACTTCCAAAAACTGTCTTCTGACTTCCACAGGTGTGCCATTGTACACATGGACCCACTCCCCCAACCGCATCCACACTAAATAGATGTAATGCTAAATAAGTATATAAATAAGGCCTTGTGAGAGCTCGGCCTTGGTCAAGAGTTGGTGAAGCAGCATCTTCGGCTGGTTTTAAGGAGGTGTTTCAGTCAGCCAGTTCCTAAACTTTGCATTAGCATGATGACAGGACATCCCCAAGAAAAAGCTGTCTTTTCTGTGTCAAGGTTTGCACAAATATCTCTGACCTGCCTAGGTACCAGCTACCGCCTAAGTGAAACTTGTGGTCCCAGAAGCAGTACTTATGATTCTGAGTGACTGTTCTACCAACAATGACCAATTATAAAGAAAACTCTCCCCCAAGGAATTCACACCATAAAATATTTATTAAAAATTTAAAATGATTTTCTCCTGCTTTGGTTATTAAGAATCTTTGATTCCTCTCTGTTAATAGCAATTGCCAACAAAAATGTGACATTACTAACATCACGAGATGACAGACAGGTGACAGAAGACTAGATGGATGATGCTATGGATAAGATAGATGTACAGAAGACCAAACTTGACAGTTAGTTAACAAATTTTGGCTTTGCTAGCAGTTGAAAATTACACATGCTTAAACTTTTTTCATAAGTAATCAACATACAAATTCTCTTGAATTTGATAACTTAAAACATCGGCAGTGATTGGAGAGTTTGCTGAAGACTAGGAGAAAAAAAGACCCAGGAGTCATGTCTCCTTGGAGAGCTTTTCTCTGGATCCCATAGTTCCTGTCGCAGGAAAAACAGACCATTCCGATAACAGGAGTATAAAAAGCCTTCTGATTTGCAAAGTGGTTCGTGTCTGAGGTCCCCATTGTGGCTGACAACCTACACTGAGCATCTCCGCGGCACCTTTCTTGGCATTTTTTTACTGATCTACATCCACACATGGCTAATTCCCTGCCCTTGGTACTATTTAGACAGGGGGATTCTGAAACTGGGGCAGAACAAAACAAAGCCCCAGGCCACATCACATGGCAAGGTTAGAAGTAACTTGGAGCACAGCAGGTGACAGATAGCTCATGATTTCAATAAAGAAGCATCGAATTACTTCTCAGGGGCCACCATAGAGCCAGGAAGTAAAAAGGCTCCATCAAAAAGGGGTGAATGGCTTCAGTGCCACTCCACCCTAGAATTCTGAATGTCTTCTTTAGATGTGTACATTTCCTTTTCTTCTCTTTAATGTAGAAAAATCACTTTGTAATAAGATCTCAACACACGGTTATTTAAAAGACACACACACACACACACACACACACACACACACACACACACACACACAAAATAGCCTCCCCCCAAAAGCATAAAAATAGACAAACTATATCTTTTACAATGAAATTAAGACATGTCTCTGGAGGCTTGAGGCTGTTGACTAGTGTCTGAGTTCAAACTGGCTTCTTTTCATAATAATTATATTATTTACATCTCCTTTCAGCCTTGAACACTGATTTAAAAAACAGCCCAGGTAAAGGGGAGGTCACAGGTGTTCTCTTGTGCAGCTGAAACAAAAAGAAATAATGACACCACACAACCTCAGACTCTGGCAGCCGCACCTCAAGGGCACTTAGGGGCTCAAGCATTTGTCACATACTTGAGGACACAGGTGGCGACTCCAGGGGCTGTGTTTTTCCATTCTGAATCAGGAAACATTCGCAGAAACACTGCTCTGGAGATGTTCTCCAGCAAATGAAGTCATCGGGAAAACACTGATGAAAATACCACCAACTTGAGCAAACTTCTGGCCGTTTCGCTCAGTCTCATAAAAGTCTAATTGATGACCTGCAAGCTACACAGTCACTGCAGGGTACATCTTCTGTTCACTGTTAGTGTGGGCAAAGGAGGGCTGGACTTGTCTGTAGCCGGGCTGCAGGCCATCCATGAATGGGGGCACTGGCGTCATGGGCACAGAGTCATGTTGGACTGCGTACCCCACATATGGGGTGTGTAGGTACTGCCCTTGATGGGGTACGATCTGGGTGGCCTGCTGACAGTTAAGTACAGAGAAATTTGTGGGCATGTTGACGTACACATTGTTCATGGTTCCCTCGGGCAAGCAGCAGTTAGTCTGTGACCTTGTTGGGGGAGCCCGGGCGCCTGAGTTGGCACTGGAGCTGGAACTGGCAGCTGTGCTGGACTGCCGAGAGGATGACCCCCGGGAAGTGCTGGCACTGGGAATCATGGGGATAGTCTCCATCAGGCGGTTGCCCCCTGGGGCTCTGCTCTGCTGGGGGTCCTGCTTTGGCCTTAGACATCTGCAACAGCAGGCTGCTACAAGGGACCCGAGGATGATGAAGGCGACGAACACGGAGCCAACGATGAGAAATGGCACATAGATGGGGACTGGAGAAAGAACAGAAACATAGCATTATGGTTCACATAAGAACACCATAAAACCTGGTGATCGGCAAAGGCCAGGGACAGAAGTGCACAAACAGTGCACTCAGAAGCGAAGGTCACAGGTCACCAGTGCACAGGACACAGCTTCCATGGCCAACTGCTTTGGAAAGCGGCCAAGACCCTGCAGGCATGGCAAGCCCCTGGAAGCTAAACTACATAATCCCACTTAGAGTCCCCTAATACAACACCAGATGCCCTATCCAAGTTGGCAAAGTACAGGCTTGATCTAGATGATCCTACAATAGCCGAACAGCCTAAATGTAAGTCTCCCTTAGCAGGAAGCCACAGGGCCTAAATGGAAATGAATTTATACTTCTCTAAATCTTTCTCTTTTTTTCTTCTAGGAAATTTTGCACATCCCTTGACTTCTTTTTAACAAGTTTCTTTTCTTGTAGGCAGAACAATAAAAAAAAAAAAGTAACTTAGGTCAGATTATGAACTATTATCATTTCCAAAAAGGAAATAAGACATAGGTGGTCACAGAAGGGAAAACAAAAACAAAAACAAAAACAAAACTAACTAACTCTGGGGCAGTGAGATGGCTCAGCAGATAAAAACTCTTGCCACCAAGCCTAACTCCTCCAGAACCCACACAGTGGAAGGAAAGGGCCTTCTCCTAAGAGCCTGCCTTCTGTCTCCAAATGCATGCCAGCCACAGGACAAGCACACACACACACACACACACACACACACACACACACACACAGGATACAAGTAAAATAAAAATGTAATATTTAAAAAGTGCACAAATCTTAAAAACCTAGTTTACTAAGAGGGGAGAATAGAAAAATAGTTACCAGAGGCTGAGGAAGAGGGGAAAGAGGGGAGGATGGGAAGAGCCAGTGGGGATTGAGTTATTCTGAAAAATAAAACCATAAAATATCAATAAAAGCCTGTTAGTAAAGCCAGTAATGAACTTCATTTTAAAATTATCAAAACACAACCAAACACAAAAAAACCTTTCAGGAAGTTGACATGGTGGCTCACAGTTTTAACCTTGGCACTGGGGAAGCAGAAACAAGAAAACCATTTTGAGTTCAAGGCCAGCCTAGGCTACACAGTGAATCGGGCCAGCCTGGGCTATAAAGTGGGCTGTAAAGTGAGACTTTGTCTTCATGTATACTTTTAATTATATATTATATTATAAAATAAAATTTTAAAAATGTATGTGGGTGCTATAGGAATGGCAACTACACAGGGCTAGCAAGTCCTGTTAGCAAGTGGTCACACAGACTGTTCAGGACACAAGCAGGCAGGAAGAGCCTGTAAAACACCTCTGAGCCACTTCTGTGAAATTCTACCTACATCGAAGAGTCTTGCATTTTCTGCTGTGTTCCTGACTCTGTTCCCTTTGTTAGCAGGGATGGGAGTGGGTGGGAGGTGTTGGGAATTGAACTTGGGGTCTCATACACACTAAGGAAGCAGTCGGACACTGAGCCAAGACCGGCCCTCTCTAACGACTCCATTCCAACAGGGATTCACCGGTTCTGCCCACCTTGGCAAAGAAGCACAGGTGCTAGAACTTCTGATTGGGCAGCAAGGAGCCTACACCCCACACATTCTGGGAGTCATGCTGTTCACATATCACACAGAGTCACGGAGAAATAATGATTTAACAACTGAACATATTTCAAAGGTTCAGAACAAGTGGGCAGTGGACATTGCTGAGCAGATCCACTTCTACACTCGGGATCCCTTGGGCAGACCGGAAGGCTTGCTGCCATCTGCAGCCCAGCTGGCTCCCACAGCTGTACCGCTCTCATTACACCAGCATTGCAGGCCAAGTCCAGGACGGGTGCAGTGAAAGGCAAGCTTTTTCCTACACACACTATAAATATTTAATTCCCTAAATTAAGATACCAGCCCCCACATGTTATAAGAGGTAAACAAAAAATGAAAAAAAAAAACAACAACACAGATAAGTTTCACCTCCAATATGATAGCAAAAACTAGCTGAAGTCAGTCTCAGCCCACATAATGAGTTTTGGGGGAAAATAACTGTTCTCTTTCCAGGATTTTTAATTGGAAGTGTAAATAGCTATACAGTGGTAAAGAATGCAGAGCTACTGGGAGTCGTGTCCCGTTGTGTCTCCCCCCCTCCTTAATTGGGCATGGTGCCCTTCAGTGCAGAAGGGCTGTGAAAGGAGCAGGAGATTTAAAATAGTTAAGGTGGGAGGGTGGGAGAAGAGTGAAGGGTGAAGGGTACCCATGACCAACACCACCAGTATGAGCAAACTGCTGCCTCCAGCTTTGGTCAATGCCATCCCAACTTTTTAGAAAGTATTAACAAGCCCAACTTAACAGACACCTTATTGTAGCCATCCGGCTCATTTCTCCAGGCTTTATTCCCAGACCACACACTGCAAAGCTGAGCTGGAGTTCAGACGGCACCTTCTCTAGAATTACCCTCAGTTCTCCTCTCTTCAGACTCAAGTCAGTGCAACAGTTGGAGCAGCAAACTTACAAAATGCTTGACTGCAAAAAGGGTACCACTGAAAAGGGCTGATAGGCGGGGAGACTGCACCGTCAACCAGAAACCACCTCTGCCAAGGCTCAAGGAATGCCACTCCTACGTGCTGGTAGCACTTACACACACACACACACACACACACACACACACACACACACTGTCGATTAGGCAACCTCTCCACAGAGGGGAATGTGTCTCACAAGGAAATGCAATCTACTAGATTATTTGACAGACTCATTTTCAAAATCTGGCTTTGACTATTAAATAATCAAAGCCTCAGTGAGCAAAGTTGGGCACTGCTCCAATGTCACATCTATCAAGTCTGCCTAAGGAGACCAATCTAGATTCCTAGAGGCCTAGGTAGTCACCGGGAACTGTGCACTGGAAGAGACTAGATCCCTAGGACGTGGAAAGTTGTGTCGCCCACGGGAAGCTGTACCCCACCCCACTCCCGAGAGCTGCCTTCCCTCCGAGGACCCTTGGAGAGCCCCGGACAAGCCTTCTCCAGAGGGAGTGCACCCTTGCCATTTCCTTGGGTATTCCCAAGAAACTAAGCCCCATGGAAACTGGTGACACAGGGAGGGCAAGGACCCTGAACAGAAGTAACGTGTTTTGTCTCCAGTTTTTTGCCCCACTTCACCCAAAGTTATTGAGTAGAAAAAAAAAAAAATCCTCGGGCTTCTCCTTTCCTAAAATCTCCAAGCATCCGGGTCCCTGTTGCCCAGGCAAAGCAACCGCCCTCCTTTTTTGCACCTGGTCGCTGATACCCTACCTGCCGAGCTGTCTGGGCCTTCTCTGTCTGTCCGGCCTGGTTCCCCCACACCCTGCTGGCGGTCGTTGTCGCAGCCTCCTTGGTCCAGGCGCGCCTCGGCGCTGGAGCAGCAGTAGCGCAGCGC